CAATAGTAATAAATATGAAAAATAAATGTGAACAGAAAAAACATTCCATGACATTTAAAAAAAAACTTTTCAAAGAAGAGATGATAGGGACCCTAAGTGCAGTCTATTTTGTAGGTAGTGTTTTACTTACTTTGCCTGTTTCTAATTTAATTTTGAATAGATTAACTTTACTGAACAATTGCACAGAATTCCTTTGGTTGATTAGTTGGTTGGTTTTGGTATGTGTAAATATATATTTAAGCAACTAGCAGTTAGTTTTGTATTTATGACAAAGGAATCATTCTTCATAAGAACTGAAAGGCTGCTGCTTTTGGGGATATTAAAGATTATTCCCACACAGTGTATAAGATGAGTAATGAATATTTTGATGGTGAGCTAATATTAATAAGGTCTTATTCTGTATTTCCTGTACTACATTTGATAGTCTGTTTGCAACTTTTAGATGAAAATTTAGTCAGATAGTGTTATTGTGATGATAGACATTTAGATAATACTATCACTGCCTTTATGTGTGATTTATATAAGTGATATAGTTGAGAATTGTTTAAAAAAAAATGAAAAATCCAAGATTAGTGAAGATATATCCTTTCATTAAAATAGAGCTGTTGTAATTAAAAAATAATTGTGGAAGCTTTTCTCAGTCCAAGACTAAATGTCTTGTCATATCTATATGCAAACAACAACAGGGGATAATTTCTGGATTGCAGGAGCTCTAGACAAAATCACCACTCTCTCTCCCCTCTTTCTCTCTGATTTTAAGAGTGAGTTCACTTGGGTTTCTTCTATGTCAGGTGATATTCCTACACAATAGATAAAAGATTCATGATTTTTTCCCTCCTCTGGAATGTTTGATAACATATGGAAAATAACACCAACAAGAGGAAGTACCTTTACAACCCGAACATTACTTCCTTACCAAATGGATAAGCAGCATTTGAGTCTCTCTCTTAATAAGATGAGAGAGATCTTGCACTTTCCTCCATTCAGGAAAAATTAGTGTGTTCGGTACATCATTAGAAGAATTATTGTTCTTATTTTCCTTTCCACAAAAAAATACCAGCTTCCTTTATTTGCAGTGTATTGGTGAATAGAAACTGATGCAAAAGCTTTGGGAATTTCTTATTTCTCAGCCAGTCCTGAGAGATACTGAAATGTTACAATACAACATGACAGAACAAATGATATAAACTGTGAGTTTCCATTAACAGTCTAAAGGCCTAAATTGTGAACAGGATAGGCTGATATCCTTTTATGGCAAGGTAACCCACCTAGTTGATCAAGAGAAACCAGTTGATGTCATCTTTCTGGATTTCAGTAAAGCTTTCAATACTGTCTCTCACAGGATCCTTCTGGATAAGAAGTCCATCACACAGCTGGATAAGCACATAATTCTGTGGGTGTGCAATTGGTACAGAGGTTAATAGTGACTAGGATAATATCAGAATGGTGACCTGTCACTAGTGGGGTCTTAGGTCCTGTGCTCTTGAGCATGTTCATAAATTATTTGGACGCAGGACTGGAAGGGATACTAAGTATGTTTGCAGATGATACAAAAGTCAGAGGAGCTGTTGACTCCCTCAAAGGCAGGGAGGCCCTGCAGAGAGACCTCAACAAATCAGAGGACTGGGCAATCACCAACCTTATGAAGTTCAAGAAGGGAAAGTGCCAGATTATGCACCTCGGATGGAGCAACCCTGGATGTACAGACAGACTGGAGAATGAGATTCTGGAAAACAGTGCCTGGGGGTCCTGGTCAGTGGCAAGTTGAATATGATTCAGCAGTGCCCTGGAAACCAGGAGGAACAACCGTGTCCTGGGGGACATCAGGCAAAACATCGCCAGCAGGTCAAGGGAGGGGATTGTCCCACTCTGCTCTGCACTGGTGCAGCCTCACCTTGAATATTGTGTGCAGTTTTGGGCACCACAATATAAGAAAGACATTTAGTCATTAGAGAGTGTCCAAAGGAGGGCAATAAAGATGTTGAAGGGCCTTGAGGGGAAGTCGTATGAGGAATGGCTGAGGTCACTTGGTCTGTCAGCCTGGAGAAGAGGAGACTGAGGGGAAACCTCATTGTAGTCACAACTTTCTTGTGAGGGGAAGATGAGGTCTCTGTAGTGACTAGTGACAAGACCTGAGGGAATGTCCTGAAGTTATGTCAGATGAGGTTTAGGTTGGATATTAGAAAGAGATTCTTCACGCAGGAGGTGGTTGTGTACTGGAGCAGGCTCCCCAGACAAGTTGTCACAGCACCAAGGCTGACAGAGCTCGCAAAGTGGACAATACTCTCAGGCACATGGTGTGACTCTTTGGGATGGTTCAGGGTGCAGGGCTAGAACTTTGATGATCCTTATGGATCCCTTCCAATTCAGCATATTCTGTGTGATATACTGTACATATAAATTCACCACTGAAGTGCAACAAGATCTTAAGGGTAGAATGTATCTGAGAAAAGGTATATTTCCAGCAGATCAGAGAGCAGATTAGAAATACTAGCATTCTCTAGGAGATGGTTCCAAGTCTACGGATATGTCTATAAAAGATCATAAAGTTATATGTAATTGAAAAGATGGAAGGAATGGGGATTAAAAATAGTGAAAGAAGACATCTAATATAGAAAGTTATATTAGTTAAAGTTATATATAACACAGTGAAGGACTTATGAAGGGGTGTGATCAGTCAATCTCAAATCAATTAATATGTACTAAGCTCTATTAAATAGTGCTTATTAATAAATTTAAAAAGTGCCTTATTTTCCCTCAAAATCATTACAGTCAAAATGGATTTTTCTCTTAAAATGGTATAGCTAAGGCTAAGGGTTTAAATAATTTTATAATAAGTTTTTAAAAATGATCTAAGGTTGCTGCATTTGATGATTTTAATTTAGGTGTTTGCCATAGGCATCAGGTGCTTCAGGATTTATTTATCTTTACCCTCTATCAGAAGAGAACAGTTTTGATAGTATGTAAGAGAAGCATACCTTTCCAATACACCAATATCCCTTTAGTATGATGGGTCTATTTGTTTTTTAAACATCACTACTAAACAAATTCAGTTATTTCCTTGGGAGTCATTGATGCACAAGGTGTATCTGATGTGAAATGAGATTTCTTTGGTTCATTTCTACTTATTTTTTTTCTTTCATCAATTACCTACCTAAACTACCTACCTATTAATTTCTTCCACTTTAATTTTCAATATTATCTTACCATGAATCTTTGGTTAATTAATAATTAATGTGTCTCTTAATTCCATTAATTGTCTATGTCATTGTTTCCCTTCTATCCTTAGGTTTGTGGGGGTTGGCATTTAAGATTAATTTTAAGCATATACTCACGGTCATTACTGACAGGGAATTTGCTTAAATTGAAAAGTTGTGGGTTTGTATGTTTATTTTTAATCCAAATTCTTGTCTGTTTTGGCAAAGGGGAAGACATGGATGTCTAATCAAATGCCTTCTTCAAAATATGGAAATATATGCTTAAGAATTTAAGAAATCATCCTTTATATTTAGAGATACAGTCGCAGATCCTAAAAATATTTAAGTGTGTAAAAGCCAGTGATGACAAGGTGCAAAATGATACTATGTTTGACAATATTTATTATGAAGGAGAGTTGTAACTTCTCAAAATCTTTAACTTCTCAAAATACCAAAATGTTTTAGATGGTGAAGTATGTAGAAATTTCACCCTGGAAATGTGGACTATTTACAACTGACCATGTATTTTCTTGTTTTTAATTCTCCATCTTCTTTATAATCAGCAAGAGGTTCCTATGTAGTGAGATGAATTCTTGGATTGTTCTTATTTTTTCTTTTATTTATTTTTTTTCTGACTCTGATGCACGTTTGTATCACAGGGTTTTAGAGACAGAAGTATATTTTAAGATTTAAACATTCTACTGTGTACTATTCAGCTTTTCTCAGGACTAATATCTATATTATTTATTTCAGTTGAAGAGCTGCAATATCTTCAAGGTTATCTAGTCTTTAAATTTGTAATTTAATCCAAATAGCTTTACCTCAAATTCATTTGATTTTTTTCAGTATAGAACAGGCCTGATGTGTTCAAAGAAGTTCACAGTAAAAATGAGAAACAAAAATGTAGTTCCTGAAAGACTGGGAAAATATATTTTCCCTTTGAAATTTTATTCTACTTTATAGTTCAGGCTATATTTTCTTCTTTCCGTTGAATATCCTGGTTAGAAAACATTTGTTCTGCACAGTGTCTGCATATAACAGGAAAGTTCTACCCAAATGTGATTCAACTGTTCACTTTTTTTCCTAACCTTATCTTATTTTTCTTTATAACATTGATGATCCTGTTCTTAAACATAATTGAGCATTTATAATAGATCCTACCCTTATGAGCATAAGTATTAAGGATTTGAGGATCATTTGTGTGAAATTGATTAATAAGTTGAATATCCAGGTGGTAATAATAAAAGAAAGAAATAAAGGAAAAACAAAAACAATATAAAACCCTATTCCTGACTGGTATTTAGGGCATGTCATATAATATGTAGATACTACACTTCTTACTTAGAGCTAAAATATACTTCACAACTGTCGTGGGTTTGCCAACCAGCACCACCCCCTGGGGCTGAAAATAGTTTCTCCAGATGAATTTCCAGAGCAAAGACAATCAAAAGTTTTAGTAATGTCCCTGCCAATTATATATTTAAGAAAACGGAAGAGAAGCTTGTGTCACAGAAGAAATTAGGAGCCATGTAGGGAGAGGCAAGCCCAAAGTGTGGGCCAGGCCTCCCTCCTCCCCGAACCCTGGGCTGGGGGTAAGTGTGGCACTGAAGCCTCCCGGACTGAGACATGTAACTGAGTAGAGAAAAACCTCCAGAAGAAAACTGCCTGGATGAAAAATATTACAAAAGGAATTCCAGGCAGACGATAGCACAGCCTCCAAGGTCAAAGTTGGCAACTGGAGGAGAGAGAATAGAAGCCAGAAGGAGGGGCTCATTTTTCCCCCCTCTCTTTCTCTCCCTTCAGCAGGGAAAAGACTGAAAACTAAAAAACTCCTGCTTTCTGTAGAAGACTGTTGGGGAGCGGAGACCCCCTCTGCAGCTCAAGAAGGAGCCCATGCCGAAGCAGAGTGCATGAAGATGTGACTCCATGGGAGGCCTAAGATGAAACAAAGTCCTGCTGGAGACCTGTGACCCATGGAGAGAGAGACCTACACTGGAGAAAGTCGGCCCCGATAGGATTTCTGACTCATTGAGGGATCCATGCTGGTACAGCTGAATTTGTGACCCTAAGAGAACAGCAGAGAATGGAAGAACTGTTGCCCGAAGGTGGACTCATGCTAGAGAGGTCCATCAAGGATTGTCTCTTGTGAGGAGGGACCCCACAAGAAACAGAGGTGGAACTCAAAAGCCATTATCCCCTGTAACTGTGGGAAGATCATGGTAAGGCAAGTGTCCCCTTGCAGTCCATGGAAGACCCCACAGGGCCTGGGTAACCCCCCAGCCTCTGGTCTTAGCCTAGGAGGGGGTAAGCCTAGCCCTGAGGTTGACATAAAAGAGAGAGAGAGAGAAAGAGACAGTTACAGCTGCGACAAATTAGAGTCCTAAAGGTAATAGAAGAGGAACTTTCAAAGTGCTGCAAAATTATTTAGAAGACCTGTAGCTCTATAAGTGGAAAGGAGACTGCTTCTCTCCTAAACTGATACAAAGGGGGAGGGGTACTTCTGTAAATACATAACACTTTTGCCTAGTTAGAATTGTTGTATATATAGTTCTTTAGTTTTTATCTTGCTAGTAATAAATCCTAATATTATTCTCCCCACATCAGATCTCCTTTGTCTGCATAAACCTTCTCTCAACTTATAGCAATTGTGTGGGGGGTGAGAAAAAATTGGTCCAGACCAAACCCACAACAACTTTAGGATTTTTTTCTCACCTGCCAGTAGGATTAAAAGACTTCTAAATTCTGTTATTATTCATCAGTGTTAAAATGATCGTATAAAATTAAAAGTAGCTTTTACAGGGAAATTTTAGGCAGCTGGTTGTACATATTGCCAGTTGAGGAGACAGCTCAAATGATGAAAGAACTTCACTTTTCTCATTCAGTTGATGGCAGAACTCCACTGTTCTCATTCATTGGATGTTCAAAACACAAGATGTAAGGATTATGAAAGAACCAATGTTCAGTTTGTTTAACGTTGCACAATGGAACTGGTTATATCCAAATTGTTCCCTAGGAGTTTAACAGATGGTGCAGAGATAACCATTCTATTCTTTGCTGCACAGGAAACAATGATATACAAATATATTTCATACAGAAGTGAACAGTGATTGAATAAGCTGACGTTTTTCAACAGAGTGGACAATTTAAGTTCCCCTTCTTTGGATTTGCATTTTTGTCGAAGCTTCTTTCTGCCCAAACAATAGTATATCAACAGTGATGCATTTTTTTTCTCTATAATTTACTGAGTTTTAGCTACCTGAACCTGTGTCCCTTTTTATATTTCTGAGTTATCTTTTTGAGATCCTGTGATCAAGTCAATCAGAAACAATCAGAAAAAGTACTTCTAGGTTGATTTTTTTAAAAAAATATATATAACTGTCTAAATCTACTTTAAAAGTAGATCTGGTCCTACCCTTCATTTCTGTAAAACGTGATTTACAAAGAATTACATGCTTTATAGCATAGGTTTCTCATCAACACTTTTTTGTGATGATTTATGTAATTTACAAGTGACAAAATCAGCAAATTGTTTATGCTTTCCTCCCTTTCTTAGAATAATGGAAACCTTTTTATATACCTACACAGTCATGTAGCTTTTACCAATTTATAAGAAATTATTTTAATAATTTTCCACATCTTTTTAATTGCCATTCTACCTCAATAATACACTCTTAACTTTGTTTTTCTCCGCCTACTTTTCCACATATATGCCACTCCTCTCTGTATCTCACTTCTTCTTATGATTGTTCCACTTCACATCTGACTTTATAAAGCCTGACCAGATGTCCTATATTAATTAAAATTCTTGGCTACTTTGGGAAAAGAGCTTGCCTTTACAAAAAAAAAAGTTTCAAATTTATTTTTTGAATACTCTTCATGGAGTTGACTTATTCTAATTTGTTATCTAAATAAATACTGTTCACCACAAGTATATATTCAAAAGAGAAATAATTCTGCCACACTTAGGAGCAAGGTCAAGATAACGTCTCATACATTTTAGCTGGCAGCATATGCTTATTCCTATGAACTAGTCATAACATTAAGTGTAATTCTGTCCTCCAAGTTAAAAACTAGAAGTTTAATCAACCATTTGTTTTCAAGTAAGAAGACAAGCTGTATAATTTCTCCTTTGAGATATTCAGTGACAAGTAAGGGTAGCTTAATTTTTTTAGATAAAGTAGTTTGATAATTTTGGGAATATCTTGTTTTTCTCAGCTTTACATAGAATTTTACCTTATTATTTGTCCCTACTGTTCTTGTGCTGCTTCAACAAAGGGATTTGCTGGACCCACAAGTTTAAATGAGCAAGACACGCCTCTCTGTTATTTGAGTTTAAAAAAATAATAAAAATCTAATGAATATAAATGTCTGTTGTGAATTCTAGGAGTTTGAATGAAGTTCTTCCTGAGTATGAACATGACCTTATAACTATAAATGAGATGGATTAAACCCCTAGCCTTGAACTTGAATATTATCAATATGTTTGTTTAAAATCATGACATAGATCCTAATAGTAAAAATTAAATGTAGGCTTACAGATAGAAAAGCACCATCTAAGTACAACTCAGTATCTGCATGGTTGGCAAGTAAAACAGTCTCAGTAACAAAATAAGAGAAAGGAAAGAAAATCATGGATTCAAACTGCAGTCTCTCTTATTACACTGTAGTTTTTCTCTTCACTGTAGTTTTTGGTTGTGTTTTAAATGTAATATGTAATTATTGTGTGTCAAAGACTGCTCTAATTGGAGACAAGATTTAATGTTCCAGTAGGGACTAAGTAGAATATGTGAATTTTGATTATGCTTTTATAAAACTCACTTAGCCGACCACATGTTTCTAATCCAGATGGAATAATACATGTCCATTTTACCAAAACGCTTTTTAGCAGCATAACACATTACCCATATCTGCCAGTGTGTTTTTTACTTTGGAAATGGACAGATTATTTGAGATCTTAAGCATTTAAGTAAATATATTAAGAGCATTAAAGACATTAGTTGATATTGCCAATGAAAGTGAAGCCAGAGAAACATAATTTACATATTCTGAAGTGCCCTGGAAAGGGTGTTAAACAAGGCTGTTTTACCTGGCAGACAGTATACACTAACAGGTTGGTTCACCAAGTGGCTGCTTTGGCCATTAATGATGTGTGTAAGTTTTGGCTCATTTTTTATATTCCTCCATAGATACAGTTTGGCTCTATCTGTAAATATATTTTTAAAATAAGTCATGAGAGAGAAATACTGTACACAATGTCATGACTTTACATAGTCCTGTTTCTGCAGTCATTAAGATTTGCATTACTAATCAATTTTAATTTAAATTTATAACCCAACATGCTCATTTGGAATTCTTTGTGCAGGCGGTAACAGCTGTGCTAATGAATTTTGTGCGATACTTTATGAATAAATAATTTTCCTTTCTAGTTTTGCTGAAAGAATTAGCCCTATATTACTGACATTTGTTTAAGAACATATCATACTGAAACAGAGTTTTCCACAGTATTTAAAAAAACTGCTGTACTGTATGTTGATATAAATGACAACAGTAGATTTGTAGTATATACGACCGATATAAATGACATACAGGGCCAACAGTACCTTAGAGAGCAAAGAGATGAAATACCAAACAATTCTTCCCCACATCAAAAATACAATTTTCTACAAAATAATAAAAAGAGATCCACAACATGATGTGGCATTTTGTCTTGATATGCATTTTGAGTAAGAATAGAAAAAACTTAAGAAAGTATTTTCTCTTTTTGTTTGGATAGAAGCTGAATCAATTTGTGCTGCCTAAAACACAACTGGAAAACCTTTCAGAATATGCCTGTAGGATTTCTGCATCCAAAACAAATTGAACAGCATGTAGTTCACTCCCCTTTTTCAGTGAAGTCTCTAAATTTCCATACTGCAGTGCATCCTGTTTTGGAACATCTTTGAATATAGATAGCCTGAAAAGTTGTCCCAGTCATTTTTGTATTTTTTTGACTGTTCACCTATCTGTTTTGTACTTTTATTTTGTTATGTGCTTGTGAAAGAAAGGCATCATTTAGAAGTGGATAGAGTTGCCGCTGATGTGGGATAACGATGTAGGGTTTTTTTCAGTGAAGTAGGTATGATCTTTCCTTTTTCCTGATGTTGCATTAACACGTTATTGTATCAAATTAAGATCAAATCCTGGATTCATTACTTAGGCAAAAGTCTCATTGGATTACTGTTTGCTGAGTTACATATGAGAATCTGTAATTACAGTATAGCTCAAACCTTATAAAGAAAACAGAAAATAATTCACAGTTCAGTATATACTGAAATAGACTAGTAGTCATAACAGTTAAGCAGAAAAATAGGATTAGTTCTTTTAGGTAAATATTTATTAAATTCTTTTATTTTATACATTTCAAGTTTCATATATTTAGTGAAACTTGCCTTTTAAATATTTTTGCCATGAATGTTGGATGGATTATTATATTAGGTTTTAGTTCTGCACAAATCCTATTCAAAACAGTATTACATCTGATGTGTTAAATCCTGTCAAAGTGAAAAACAGTATTTTTGTTTCTAAAGGATAACAGAGAGAAGATCTTCAAGATTTGAGAAAATTATAAGGAAGAACATTATATATAAAATTCTGTATTAGGAATCAAAAATTAGAAAACCTCTTTACTATTGTCATATGGCTGTTTTCTTGGATTTCAGAAACCTGGCTGTTTATCAGCAGGTACTGAAAATAGAGTAAAAGAATTCTGGAAAAAAAAATTGTAAAAGAAGTTCGTGGTTGAAATAATGTTATTCAAAGAGTTATTGTGGGTTTTTTTACTTGTGTTATTGTTAAATGCCCAAAGAATCAATTGATAAGTGTACTGATTAATGTATTAATCTTTTTATTCAGAAAGTTATAATTTTCTTAGATTTTAGCAAAGTAAAAACATCTAGTTACAAACATATGCAAACATAGGCTGCCAATGCTTATATAGCTATTCTAACATGTTTCAAGGGCTATAGGTAATATAATAACAACTCAAACCATGGTCATTTTCAAGAATATAAATGCACAGATTTTTACCTTGGACTTGTACCTGGGAGAGTAAAGTGAGTCTGAAGCCATTTTATAATATGACTAAACCTTCCAAATGGTGGGGAAGGTAGTATAAATGCTTTAGGACGTGTCTGGAATGATAATGTAAAAGGTTGATTTTTAATGTTCTCAAGATGTGACT